AAATAATTATATAAATTATATAACCTATATAAATGAAACCAAGAGGCTTCGTGTTTTGCTGAAATCCATCATTACTGACAATCTCAAAATCGAAAAAAAAAACATTAATTAAAAGCGAATTTCCGAGTCTGTTAGATTCAAGGTAACAGACTGAAATTCATGTTCGAAATTTGATTTTGAAATTTAAATAAATGGTCTTGAGGGCTTGAAGTAAAATATATGGACCTCAAGGTTTCGATAAGATAAACACAATATTCTGGCCCGAGTCTTTAGAAAAATTATCAATTTAATTTTTCATTTTCAGACAGGATTTGAGCCTGGTCACCATTTTCAAAGGGCTAACGGAAGTGCCGGAAGTATTGGAGGTTCTACCTTAGGAAAGTTCACGAGCCTGCGTAAGGGTAAGACATTAGGAAAGGCGGTCAAAGAGCGTCTAAGCAGTTCCTTGTACAGTAGCAGCAGCAGTGGTCGTAGCCAACACCAACAGCATGAACCAGAGACTATTCTTGTACCGACCATCCCAGAACTAAAGAATAAAAACAATAAACCTGTGACGCAACTCCACAAAGGAAAGCAGCACAAACCTAGAAGCAAGTTGTGTGCACTTTTATGAGGTGCGCGCGCACTTCCGACGACAAGTGCGCAAGAACAATGCGCACTGCGTCGAACTCTGTATTCGGCTGTGGACGATGTCAAGAGTCAGCTTTCAGACATGGCAAACAGGTTGTAATGACTACGACAGACACTGAAGCCTGTCTCAGCGTTCCTTCTTTAATTGGAGTATCTAATTCCAGAGGAGTGACGCTGTTTTGTTCTCGACATTCCTAAGGATCTCGTTTCAAATATTGGGATTGGTTACACCAAATGCCCACAGGAGTCCAAGAGCTACTACAAACCAATAGAAATCTCAGAGTACTCCTTCCAACATACACAGTGAAGTTCCATAAATAAATAGAAGTTCACTGCAAACCCTCCGGCAATGTGTTGCAGTTATTTGAAAGTTTACGAGATCTGTTAATATTATTTGTTACTAAGTTTGCAGGCAGATACGAAACAGTCAGTAGGAAAAGTGAGTGGAATATAAATTATAATTTTATTTGTAAAATTTTCATTAGCAGGGCTGACAATATGTGAAAAATATAAATTAAGACCATAACATACAAGAAAATAAGTTGGTTCCTCCGAGGTCCAATGTTAAATGGCTGTGCGTTATCACTGGACTGGACGCTGTTAACGTTTGTGTATATAAATTTATGAGTTTCGTATCACGGAAAAGTAAGACATTGTGAAGAATAAACATCTTCTGTTATGAGTTTCGTATCACGGAAAAGGAAGACATTGTGAAGAATAAACATCTTCTACGAACAATAATTAAAACTATTAGGCACGGGTTAATTCTGAGCCGCTAATTTTAATCTTATGTGGTACTGGCAGATTCTGATAACACCTTAAATGCTATGAAATTAGATGGCTCGTTAAGACACAGTGCCAGATTCTGCTCTGAACAACTTCATTATCTGATAATTTAAATGTAAATTAAATATCGTGAACTCCCGTGACACTTCAGACTAACAATTTATGGCTTTTAACCAATGAAAATACAGAAATGTTTGACACCACCCCCCCCCCCCACCAAAAATGAAACTCAGTGCTGAAAAGGTTATATCACTTTATAGGAATAACAATAAATCCTTTAATTAACTTATATGAAGACCACGTTCCTTCAGATATATCCAGCTAGAAAATAATTATGTTAAAATTATTCATTGTTTGGACTTTTCCCATCGTTTTTTTTTTTAAAAAAAAGAAGAAAACCACTACGTAGGTACCTCTCGCCTGACGAAGGACACAGAGTCAGTCTCCGAAAAGTCGTGGTTTTCTTTTTTTAAAAAAATGACGATGGAAAAAGTCCAAACAATGAATAATTTTAAATGTAATCTATTATCATCAGAACCCTTTAGAATTTAATAATTCCTGCTTTAGCAGATTAATTTCTAAGAATAAACTCCGATATATTTAAAAAACGAATGACCTTGAAATAAAAATTATTGGTTAGGAACAGCAGATTTTGAAGTTCCCGTTTTGGGTGTGTCTCCCCCCCCCCCCCCAAGAAAAGCCCTGCCTAAAAGCTGTCGTTTGACAATTTACATGCATTTTATTTTAGAATGTGTGGCCTACAAACTTTAAACACTTCAATAACTAAGGCTTCAGAGTCTCGTGTTACATACCACCAGAAAGAGAGCGAGAGAATGATCATGAAATGTGACGACAGGCCTAAGAATTGTTCCAGTACAGACTGCATTATAAATCATGAAGTTATTAGCTTTGTTACAATTTACAGAAATGTAATACTGTAATTAATGAATGTGTAGACAATCATTAAAACAGTTACATTTTCAAAACAATGCAGTTTTAGTTACGAATGTTCGTGGTTTATGTTAGAACATAAATGAAAATATTTGTTAAAAATTTAAACATCCTATTCGCAATAGCAAAAATAATTAAATAATTCGAATTTATAGAATTTACTGATAGGCAGAAAACATATTTTTCTGTGAAGGTTGTTAAAAAAAATTTTGGAACTGTGATAACAGATTGCATTTAAAAATTATACATCCAGCTATATCTTTGTTAAAATTAGTAGCCTGAGGATTATAGGATATAAAAAAAAACATTTTGCTGCAAATTTTTTATTTTTTAAGGCCCTCATACTTTACTCAGTAACTAATGTTTCTTTCTGACGTGATACGTTTCCATTAATACGAATAAACGCATTTACTACAGTTCTCAGTTCTTTATAAAGTCTGCCTTACTCTAATTCAGAGATCAATCTATAATTTAAATCAATCGAAGATCAGACAAAACAATTTATCTGTAATAATCCGATTACACAAGAGGGATCTTGGATGTGTGTCTGTATACTTAGGAATGTATGTTCTTGTTTTAATTACGATCAATTTAGTGCAAAAGTATGGCAAAATGAATGTTTTTAATTATTTATACATATATAAAATCTTCTCAGTACATAGCTTCATAGTAAATACGTCCACAATTGATACAACGCTAAAGTGGCAACTGATTTGGGGTCAACTTTTTTCGCGTTAGGTTACAAGAGGAACCTCTATGGTCAAAAACTCTTCTAATACAGGCTGAGGCACGGCTTCTCTGCTATACATGATCGGGAATTCTGAACAATTTTATGAAATGTCGCAGGTAACACTGAAGAAAGACTCCTGCAATCTTTCCCATAAATTAAGATCAATTGATGTGTTGCTGAAGAAACATTCCTGCAATCTTGCCCATAAATTAAGATCAATTGATGTGTTTTTAGACACTACAAAATTATCAAAAATTGTAGCCTTATAAAATGACGATTGTGCACTAATTTTAACCATGTGATTAATACCCACGTTTAATTTCTATAATTCGTATCCTCAGTCAGAGGGGATATTTGAAAATGAAGAACACAATGAAATAATTCATCTTAAAGTGTCCCATAAACTCACAGAACTACAGGATATGACGCATAATCTGTTTAGAAGACGCAGTTAAAATATACAAGCCAACGGAAATTTTCAAAAATCTCTAAATAAATTTCACTCCTCAATAATTCTGCAATTTCTAAATCACTGCAGCTGAAAAAACTACGAAAGGGAGCAGACATGCATAGTAGAAAGGCCATGCCCCAATGTAGCCATTAAGTAACCCACGGTAGAATGCCAAAGCCGATTATAATTAGTAATTAAATAAAGACCGTGTACTGATACTAACATATTTTCATAAATTTACATTCCTAAAATAAATCAAAACATTTATTTACGCTCGTGTTGACGTGTACTATCACATCTAGTCCTAATATAAACAATTTTGGACTCCTGTTAACTACTGTGGTAGAATATCACACGATGCTGTGTTAAGAAGTAATTAATTAATTACTTTAACGAGAAAGGTGTTCTTGGCAAGCAATAATATAAAGAATAAACAATGACTGAGTGAATTTCTAAGTCAAACTATTAATAAGGAATAATATTAATATTGCTAACTGTAATACGATATTTTTCACTGACAATCTCTAAAACAGATATTAACAATTCTAGTAAAAAAATAAATAAATAACATGAAAGTACATCGCAGTTGTATAGATTATACTTCTTACATTTCTGTAATATTAATTATAATATTTGTACTGTTTAATTCCATTGGAAGCATCAATTAAATTCTTCTTTGGCACAACAGCTTTCCTTAATCATTATTAACCCATCAACAACACCCACAGTTGAGGTTATGTTTTATTTACTTATCAGATTTTCTGTGTTTTTCTTTTAATATGATCGTAATGTTTCAATACCAACCTGTCGAAAACAACCGGTCTCATTGTTATTGGAAGTTACATTAAAGTATTTGTTTCAGCTAAATTGCGGAGCATTTATTTTAATTATGTTAAAATATAATTATTTTTTAAATGAATGATAATCAAATAATTGCCAGGTCTTTCACAAACAAGCCAGAAAATTTGATTTTCTTCAAGATGTTTGGATACGTCAAAGGACAACAATGAGCTTGTTCACTCTAAAACCTGATAGTTTCTTAGCGTAATCATTTTTGAAATCTGGCAGTGTAAAACAGGTTCCTTCCACATCTGACACTCTTCCCATAACACTTACCTGGTCAGCCCATATAACCAGCAATCTTAATTACCGCTGCAAAACACATTTCACGTGCATTTTTGTGCATTTCAATCATGTTACAAAACTAAAAACAGATTTTTATCAATTATAAAGCCCTCCATACACGAACATACAGATTATTAACCCAGTGTTCACTCACTCTATGGTGTAGGATATTCCTAGAAAAGTCAGCTGTTACTCGGCTTGTCAAAGAATAGCGCAGAGGAAAAGACGGGAAACTTCTGGGTTGCTGCAAACATTGGGATGGTAGACGTTTACTGACATTTCACACGTACTTTTTAACTCAGTCATCATGGCGCCAAATGTTAAAAGTTAACAAACAATAAGAGACGTGAGACGTGCTGCTATCTGTCCACGATGGTAGTGAAATTCTATATAAACGATCTGATGGCAACCATTTTTTTTCAGCCACTGCCAAGAGCTCAGCCGATAACAAAGTTAACTACCATCACACTTCGACATAACCTCCAAACACTCGTAACTATGGAACAATCAATTTCACAAACATAAAATTGTCTTCTGGAACATTGTGCCTTCTGTGCATCTGCCCATTTGTGCTAGCTTGGCCTCTGATAAAACCGTGTGTCCCACCTTCTTCCTTCTAAGCAATTTCAACTTTACCAATAGTGCCAGAAGGCAGAAAAGCAATCTCCCACTTACAAGAATTTCTCATATAAGATCACAAATTATGACAATGCTTAATTACCATATACTTAACACATATAGACAAACAAATAATGCAGTTGACTGACCTTCTGAGACACTGCCAAACAATAAGTTAGACAATGACTGATTACATGACCATCTTCTGGGTTATAACACTATGCAGGCAGGTAGAAGTTTGCCAGTATTTCAGAGGTCCTTGCTGGATGCAGCAAACTTCTCCCGGCATTACAACCTAGAAGACGGCCATCTTCTTACTCACTACCATTAAAACCTCAAGGTTAAGGAAGGTGAAGATCAAGATATCAACAACTTTACCCTTTAATCCAAGTGGTAACTATATGTACCTTCTTTAACAATCAGTAGTGCTGAATTTTTGGGTTTTTCTATGATTCTCGCGGTAAACAGAGATTATTTCCTAAAACAACATTAACCAAGTGATCTTCGTAACAGTGAAGAGTTGTTTTCTCTTCACGGTACGGACTTAATTCTTAAATATTTTTAAGACAACCTTCGGCTTTAAAGGGTCAAGCATTCGTGATAAGGTAACTAACAACAAAATAATTTTATTATTAGTTTCACATTGGTATTTTTATTTCAATATATAATTTGGAATTGAAATAAGATTAAAGATGCTGATTGAGAATGATAAAAACTCCCCACAATATTCATTGCTCACCCGTTTCAAGTACAATTCATTAAACAGGGCTCAAAGAATTGCGAAAACAAACATTTTCTCTAAGTTATTATTTGTCATTAAGCCCATATGGAATTTGATTTCCAATGAGAGTACGTGTACCCTGAACTACCAAAGTTCCTGACACCTGATATAAGAACACTGCTACCTCATTCAAAAGCTAACTACATTGGAGTAAAAAAGGGCTTTCTACTGGTTCTAAAGTTCAAAAGATGTAACACGATACTTAATCAACAAACCACTTCATATGTACAATTTAACAAATGACTGAAACACTCATTTCAATATTTTCAAAATAATTACAAGTCCTACCCTCTACTCATTGTCAAAAATAGTACACCAAACATTTCTCTTAGCTCTCATTCACTAGCTTTGTGTTCCAAATGGACAGTAATATGCTTATAAAAACGCATAGAACACATAGAAAAAATTTATCAGACACACAGTAACATACTACATGTCCGCACTCATTACGACGCCAGATGCAAGCACTGGCATAGGAAAATACCATATTCTAAATCAACAGTTGCTCTTGTTTTTAAAAAAAAGATCAGTTAAACAATAATACTCTCCTGTACAAATATATTATTCCTTAATACCCAGACAACGTGCATAATATTTGTGTTGATAAAGCTACATTATTAAAGAAGAGAAATGTAACGCCTAACGCAAGTACGCGTGCAATAAAAATACTATTAGGAATTATTGACACGCAGGAACATGATGTCACAAAACTTATACACTATACAATTTTAAACTTGAATGGGACAAATAACGTAAGTCATAAATATATGAATCTCGGTGCATAAAACTTCTGCGCTTTCCGAAACGATCATTAGAATTCCAGTTATTGCATACATTGTGGTCATGGAATATCATATATAACAGTAATTAATTACATATGGTGTAATTACATAAAGAATGCGGTGATAAGAATTTTAATCTTTCAGCTTATTTCTTCAATTATACATACGTGAATCGACCGTCACTCTACGACGGGCCGTTCCACAAATACATAGCATTATACGGAATGAATAGGTAACGGGAAACATAAGTATATAAGCTCTATATGACTTTTATGTAGTGAAGATAATTTGATGCTTCAGTAATGAAGTTCATATTCATAAAAAAAGGAAAACAAAAAAAATAAAATCAAAATAAACTGTTTTTTTCCAAAAGAAATATTATGATTTAGAACATACTTAAATTCAGGAACGCAACGCTGAGCAACACAACAAATACACAGAAACTATAGAATACCATCGCATCTGCTGCAGAATACACACACACACGCGCGCGCACACATATATACTTTCTCAAGTACTGTGTTCTTTATTTTTCTGAAGAGAATGCTCGGAATAGAAATGTCTTTAACCATTCTTTAGCCTTTCTTAAATTCATTCACTACTACAGCAATTTTGCAGTAAATTCAGAATTAAATCTTTAAAACAAATTTATCTCGAGATTAAACAATCTCAATTACTCAGCTAACAGTTTTTATACAAGAAAGGCTTCAAGTTAAACAAAACCAATTTTCAGTGGCATTCACTTGCATGAAAAATTATTTTGAGGTTATGTATCCACGCATTCCCTTCAATGATTCTCAAGTATTCCTGCACATTTTAACCTCCCACCACAGATGTCCCACCAGAAAGTTGCGCAAGCCTCAGTGCACTGGCGGCTAGCTACTGGACAAATGAAGAGATGTCAGCTAGTGGGACAGAGAGCAGACCTACCCTCCGTCACTCTTCTTTCAACGCTGCCAAGCAGTTCTTTAACAGTTGTACTTGAGCCTGTCAACAATTTATAACAAGTATTGTGATTCGAATGTGTAAAAATAGACACGAAACTAAAAGATGTTTCTTTAAAATGCAACAAAGTCATCTCACATAAACAAAGGAGTCAAAAGAGAATGAAAACATAATTTTGTAGACTGTCCTTGTCTCCAAAACAACAGACTAATTTGACGAGTAATATAAATTTTCTGACGCACAAAGCATTTTTTAAAAAAAATACATTCACACAGTTCAATACAGAGAAAAAGTGTATTAAATGTTCCAGAGATATACGTAGGGCAGTCAAGAAGTTCCCGGAATTGTGGTATAGCACTGTAATGGTTGGACATATGGCAACGCTTACCTAATCACCTTCAAAGTAGGACCCTTGCGCACGCACGCACTTGCTCCATCGATCCTGCCATTGTTGGAAGCACCGGCGGAAGGCTTCGTTTGGAATCTTCCGGAGTTCGGCCGTCGCATTCGACACATCGCTGGTTGTGCCGCAATTCCTCGCCGAGAAAAGCATTCCCATCATCACCCAACCACCATAATCTCCTCGCTCCGAGTGACTTCTCGCTGTTCCCTACTCTGAAAATGGGCCTCAAGGGGACACGTTTCGCAACCATGGAGGACATCAAATCGAATGTGACGGCCGAACTCCAGAAGGTTCCAAACGAAGCCTTCCGCCGGTGCTTCCAACAATGGCAGGATCGAAGGAGCAAGTGTGCGCGTGCTTGCAAGGTTCATGGGTTCAATCCCGGCCAAGGTCGGTGGATTTTTAACGGTGATAAAAATCCGTAGCACAACTTCCTTTGGAGGGGAAGTAAAGCCGGTGGTCCCATGTCGTAGATTTACGGCACGTAAAAGAACCTTACGAGCATGATACGAGATGTTACATGAGCAAAATTCAGAGGCCATTTCTCACCCAAGTCTCCTGATTAACTGCTAGATGGCTCTGGCAGTCAACTCAGGAAGATATCGATGAGTAGAAATTGTGAACTCAGTGGGCTGGTCACTCACTACTCATAAATGCACACTTCAAAACCAAGAAACATCCGAAAAGGAGGCGGCGAAAACCCACAACCGGGTTGTAGATCCAAGAAACAACAACAGGTAGTAAGGAGCGTGTCTCACAGCATGCAACACTTTGAAGACAAAACAAGTAAATGCTCAAGATAAAGCAGGCAATAAAGCAAACCTTTGAATGTTTTATCTCTAGCTCAGCAAGGTCAACCAAGTTCTTCCGGAAAGCTGCCACTCGTCTTGTCTTGAAGTCCATCAATTCTGAAATTAATATTAATGATTAATGCCAGAACTGCTTAAAAACTGCAAGGTAAATGTTCATTTGCATATGACAAAGACATGTTTCAACTCTAACAACATGCTACAAGACCTGAAATAAAAATCTACAAGTGCAAATTCTTAAATGCAATTCAGCTGAATATCAAGCACAATTACATACAACACCAATAAAATTTATTAAACCGCCAGTCAATAATACAGAAATGAGTACCCATTGTGCATTCCTGTCATCAGAATGACTTAAGTATAACTTTTTCATGTTTCTGAAACAAAAATTATCATAGAGCAGAAATCTGTCTCGTTCGGTTTTTGTCCTGTAGTATTGTACGAAGGAACACGAGATGGAATGAAGATGACTGTCTGTCTTCTCGGTTGCTGCGCCACGTGGCCTGATTGAAGTTTACTGGTGTTTCAGAGCTGCTTGCTGACGGAGATAAGCCCAGATGATGATAACAACGAGCCTTGTCACCCTGATTACGGAGGCAGCAAGCACCTCTAAAACATCAGTAAACTTCTATCGGGCCACGTGGCGCAGCAACCGAGAAGACAGACAGTCATCTTCATACTTGTCATAAGAATCTAAAATCTCACCAAGACAAAAAGTTTGTGTGTCAAAATGACATGACAAATTCTTCATTTTTTCATTTCTATATTGAAATGTGCCACTGAATACTCTTTGGAGCTATTCGTGAGAACAAAATTAAAAGATTATTTCCGTACTTATTTTCGCCTAGCAATGCAACATGGACACTTCAGTTACAGTACAGCAGTGAATGGGTTAAAACATTTCATCGTGTAAGTCCAAATTTTCCACTCACCTTCTTTCCCTTTGTCTGACATCTGTTCAAACTTTTCACATGCTTGCTGCTGTGCAAGTTCGGCCTGTCAAAAACACAATCTTTTAATTTAGAACATTCTGAAGCACTACAAACATGTATGAAGTGAAGCTTTCGCGGCGACCGAAGCTGATGAAGGACTCTCGGCTTACGAGCCTCGTCAGGTGGCTGAATGCTGAGCAATCTCTGCTCTCGAAAACGCTGGCAGAAGATATGGTTTATTCACCGTTCAGCCACCTGACGCACCTTGTAACCCAAGAGTCTTTCATCCACTACTGATGATGCAAATGGATCTTCACAACATAAACACACAATGAAAGTTGCTTTAATCAATGTATAAGAACAGAAGTATCATGTATGAAATTTTTTTGACAGTATTTTGTCTTGATTTCCCCAGTCCTGGAAAATACTTACCACGTATTACATATTTTATCTGCATGCAGGTTTAACCAATGGTAGAAACCCAAAAATTAAGAGAATTATGAAAATGCAAAGTGTTGATAATAATAAACACACAAAAACACCAATGCCCCTGGTGGGTTCTGAACCTGAGACATGCGCACTTGCTTCAACTAAGACTTACACGGCAAGACTCCTAGGTATCACAAAGCATAAAGAACTGCCACATATTTCTCTAGTAGTAATGCCAAAAAAAAAATAATACACACAATGGTAACAATAACCATGCAAATGTTGGTATTTTCATTATTACCACTTTCTCCCTCATGAAGATAACACAATATGCACTTCCGCCCGCCATACACAAACCCGAACATCCACACTATTAAATCACAAGCAATTCCAAACATGCTACGAGACAGTTTACCTTTTAAACTATTCAAACGCACTAACAACAGAACTGTATCTTTCGAGCTGCTATATTATCTCGTGGCCTTTGGAGAACAAAGTATTATTTCACAATTTCTGGACTGTAAAGTCTCAAACAGGTTTGCCACTAAAATAAACCTAAATTTATATGCATAAAACATAAAATGGTAAGCCTAATTAGACGTAATAACCATGCGATTGGTTTGGAAACAGAAAAGCAGTATCTGTAATAACCAATAACAAGACTAATATAGAAAAATAACAGTTAATTTGTTCAAGTGATTGCACATTAAATCCAAACGCATGCTGCAACCAGAGTTGTATTCATTTGTTACTAACTTTGACCGGCAAAAGAAAAGGAATAATCAATTATGTGCATGCACCAGTATTTCATCACAGTTTAAGATGTCTTTAAAGTGAATCTGAAAGTGTCTTTTTGGTAGACTTTTGTATAATTCAGTTTCAGTTATTTCATATTGAACAACATTTTCAAAAAAAAGTACTTGTCATAAGATCTTTTCACCTTGTAATCATCTAATAGGATTAAATTAATGTGGGCCTCCTCATGGTGGAGGCAGCAGGCACCCCTGAAACGTCACCTCATGGCGGAGGCAGCAGGCACCCCTGAAACGTCGTCAAACTTCTACCAGAGTACGTGCTGCGACAACCCAGAATACAGCCGTCTTCTCTGAATATTAGCCTCCTCATAGAATTTATTAAATACAGATTATTAAAATTAACTTTTCTTTTCAATCTGCTGCGAAATGTTTCTTTTCATTTCCCCAACAGCAAACCAAAACTAAATACTTATGTGACGCTCTTGCACTAGAACAGAAGTGTTTTTGCCAGAAGGGCAGACAGACAGGCACGCAAACAGGCAAGCAAGCAACCAAGCAGAAGAATAAGTGAAAATTCAGTTAGTAAGAGCATAATAAAATTATTAACTTTACAAAGTAGATATATATTAAATTTATCACTGCAAATTCAATCATCATCATTGCTTTTTTCTATTCTAAAACATCCAAAATCAGATGCCAGCTGTTTTTTACTTACATCAGCCACTTCCAGAGCCTTAGGAAGCAAAAACAGCGACCACGAGGAAATTAAAAAAATATCGTCATTTTCCCACATAATAAATAACATATATTAAGCACTGATACAACGTTAAACTTTTCCCATGCAAGCAGTTACTTCAAGAAACAATATGGAATAGTACAGAACTAAGAACGTTATCAGTCCTCAAAGACTATAATCCAGAATGTTCGAAACAAAAAAATTGATAAACAAAAACAATGAAGACAAAAATTAAATTAGCCATAGAATCAGCCGGCTTTCACGTTCCACATTATTTTGGAAGGCTAATGCGGCTATTGAGGAGACCAAAATCTAAAGTTGTTAGAAATTTGAAGTAGAAAGCTTCAAATTACCTTGAATGCTACCCAAAGGAGAGTCCTTTTCTTAAATTATACAATCTTTGTATGAAGTGCGGGAAATAAACATATGACAACATCAGTCAGATTGTTAATCTCCAAGAATATATTTCAACTGAATTTTATATTCAGTTGAAATATATCAAAAGTTATCAAAATTTCATTTTGACCAAATATTTTTTTTTAAATAACCTCCTCACAACAAAAAAGCTTCCATTGCTACTGAAAACTAAATAATTATACACCTCCATTTTAACTAATCCAAACCAATAGTACGGTCCCGTGCGGTCTGAGGCATCGTGCTTCGGACCGGCGATACGGATTGCGCGCTGGTTTGAGTCTCAGGGGAGAAGAAATTTTCTCATGAGCTTTCGACCGGTGCATGGGACCGGTGCCAACCCAGCATCGTGAGGAAATTGGGGAGCTACAATGAGTAGCGTAATCCGGTCAGGAAAGCCAGCAATGGCTGGGGGTTCGTCGTGCTGACCGCACGTCACCCTATATCTGATTGGATGATCGTTCACCACTGCTTAGGCATGTGAACGTGAGGCCAGCAGCCAGCTAGTCGGCTTTGGCTCTCCGGATCGGTTAATGGGGGGGATTTAATTTAATTTGTAAACCAATAGTAGGACTTTGCAGATTATACTTATTTTCAGTAATTTTATGTAGCATGTTCAGTCGTATCTTGGCTGTATGGGAACGTGATTATTATGACGATTGTGATATTCGAGGTTCCTACGTGGCAAATACGTAGATGGCTGTCTTCCGGGCAGCTACACCATTTAGTCTAGTAGAAGTTCAGAACTTCAGAGGTGCTTGTTGGTTCCATCATCAGGGAAACAAACTTCTAATGGTAAACTTCTACCAGACTACACTGTCTAACAACCCAGAAGACAGTCATCGTCATAACAATCAGTGTTACCCTGAAGAACGATTTTATGTTCTAAACTTAAAATATAAAGCAACGCTTCGCTGATATATAAACAAAATGTACTCAACAGGTGAGATTAGATGCTAATGGCTCAATATATAACAATTACTAATTCTTGAAAAACTTCGCTGTGTGCACGTATTTTTTTACAATGTACTCGTAAATACACACAATAATAACTTACCTAAGCAGATTTTGAATAACATTCTAATCCTGTATTAACCTATAAATCTAAAACTGGTACCAAAATAACACAAACCATCGCATAAGGGCAGCAAATGAAGAAAGCTTTCTACCAAACTTTAAACCGCTTCAAATGCACTACATAAAATAAAATATTCCATATTTTGTATCATGTATAAACGTAGAAAAACAAAACTAGACTGGATGGAAAAGCATACATCACAGAACAAAAATGAAAATGCGCCGAATTACAAAATATCGTTTCATTATTCAACGCCGAAGTCTAATCCACCAAACAGAAATCAATACTCACCGCATGAACATCTTTATTCTTTGTTCTCGCTCTTTCCAGATTCCTATTGGCATTTTCATAATTTGCCAGGCAGCGCAATCTTCGATAAAGCAGCCTCTTGGCAGCAAAGGAGTCTCTCATATAATACCTGAGCGTATCAGACAGCTTCAAGTCCTCATCTGAAGCTACACGCCCCTCAATTTTCTAAAATTTCAAGCATAAATAACAATAATAAACTAAGCATTATTTCTAGTACAGTATATTCTGGTTAATTGGGCCATCGGTTAATGGGGGCGGCCGTTTATTCGGGACAAATCTCAAAGAATAAAACTTTTTCAACTCTTTACGTCCCAATTAACTGGAATCCACTGTATATGCAATATCGTAAGTACCACAGATGCATAAAGTATTAAAGTATGTTCACAAACTAATGCCTCTACAGTCTTAACATTCCTGGCTTTGACCCCCCTCTAAAATGGTGAAGGAGTTCATTTCTCCCTAGTCAGATTGGTCGAGGGGGAGAGGTCAGACTAAGACAGGTACCCTGGTCCTCCAGGTTGGGGGTCGGTCGCAAGGCCAACAACCTTGTACCGTAAAAAGGAAGATGTTTCGAAACCTCGATCAAAGCCACGGACAGACGGACCTAACAGAGGACCGAATGGAAGAGGATAATTGAGGAGGCCATGGACCGAATACGGACGGGAGAGCCATAGAAGATGAAGAAAATATTAACATGGCAAAAATCATCATATTGACATATCTGCTGTAGAGCAGCGGATTCGGTGTAATATTTCAATACTTTTATCATTTATGAAATGCAACTAGTATTTCAAATTGTACTCATCTCTACGTTTTGTACTTCACAACGTATCAAAGAACATATCTGAAAAATCTGTATATTTATCCACTTCTCCACTGCTTCTACAGGGAAAATATTTCCAAATACCTGAACATTTAATTTGGATTCAAACACTTACACAAGCTTTTTCAAACGTTTCTGCTACCTTTGCCAAGAACTTCTCAAGGTCACTGTTATCTATTGATGAGAGTTGAACGAGACCGGTCGATATTTTAATGTACGAATCTGCAACATCTGAAATCAAATAATTGAATCATACAAGTGGTTGAAAATGATGATAAGGATAGTGATGATCTATTAACACACTTAAAATTCCAGGCAATAAAAATATTCCAGCTTAATGAGAATTCAATTGTACGATCATGTGCACACAAGTCCACCATGCTAGCCTAAGCTAAACTGAATTTCATTGATCTAGTTTTTTTTTCTAAGATGTTTCCACTGCATGTGGCTCCATTAGCTAAATATAATGTCAACAACACACAATTTTTAAAGTTTCAATTGAAAGGTGCCTCTCTAAGGTGACAGAGGTTTAGTTTTATGAATAATTTCCTCCGAATTAATAGACTGCGGGAAATGTCAACCTGTATTGTATCTACTGCATGTCCGGCAGTTTGTAACGTATAAATACTACACAATCTATTTAAAAATAAGTTTCTGCTAAACAAATGAATTGCCAGAGGAGAAAGGAAAGAGTTAACATTAAAAACTTATATGAATGTTTATTTTGTAATCAAACTTACTCGGGACAGACGGAATTAACCCCCATGTGTCCGTGGAACATCCCTTAGACTCTCCCTGTATGTGGTTATGAAACTTCAAAACAAGTACGCTTACAGTAACGGAAAGTACCTTTGTGACGCTTGGTCATCTTGTCTCCCTTAGCTGTTGCATCCTTTAGATGCAAATGGTAATCGATGAGAAAATTCTTCTCTTGTTCAAAAAAGTCATTGACATCCTTGACAGTTGCTGAAAGCAGGAATTCATCTGTGGTCTTGGTAAAAGATTTCATAAATCCTCCGAGAACTTCCATCTTGTTCTTTCCTCTTACACACAGATCTTGGTCATACTCTAAGAAGACCCGAAAATTATGGTCATTACGGAACACAGGATGGTTTGCTAATCGACAGAGGAACACTTCGTGCATTGCGACTGTTTTCTTGAATGTTGCCAAATATTCTCTGAAAGATAAACAAAAATAATACTGGAAAACCTACATGAAATTTATCATGTTGTAAGTTACATAACTGAGGGCAAATAAAGCCAAAAGTGTCTCCTGATCACAAATTTAATGCTTCAATCACATTTTTAGTTTCCAGCTTGGTCTCTGTAGACATACCACACCAACTCCTCACTTTTCATGCTCTCTAAAAATCATTCATTAACCTAACCTAACCTAACCTAACATAACAAAGTTTTCCATTAATTTAAGGCAATAATTAGGCACAGTGACCTGAGATAAAACAGATGACTTATGCAACCCAGGTGACAATATTACAAATAAACCACAATAATATTAACAATGAATAAAATTTATTAAAGTTAAATGATGAATCCTAATGCTACCGAGTCTTTCTCAGAAACGTGACAGTTAATCAGCTAATCAGGAAATTCCCATTAATACAGCGTTCACAAAAGTCCACTACCGGATCCAATACTCGGCCAGATAAATCCAGTACTCATTTCCACACAAATCTATTTTAATGTTATCTTCTCAGAATGGTTCAGTAAATGAAACTCACGCCTCTAACTCTTGCTTCATTTTATTGAACTCTTCCTTGGTCATTGTTCCTTCCCCTTCTCCCAATTTCTGTAGTTTCTCACGGGATGCATCAAAGTCTGGGCGTGGTGGAGCTGGAGGAATCTGAAAAACAAAAACAACAATAATTCTGATAGTAAAAATACCATCGAATAATCTGCGAAAAAAGTTTCCAGGACACACGTTCCACACAGCTGGTGATATGTGGCACCACTGATGACTCCACACTGCTGACACCAACAGAAAAATTCAGCACATTGCACTTCAACATCATCTAGCAGGCAAACTTGTAAAGTATGCTGCACTTCCAACACATTACACTTCTTCATAAAACCATCGCTAGTTTCAGATTTCCAAGACCATGACTGCTACAATAACTTCATTCTCAGACCTTCGTCAACCGAAATCAAACAGACCATGCACTTCTAAATCATCCAGTAATAATGAGAACTGTAATGATAAACTGCCCAAAAAATGTGAGAATTATAACGATCAACAACAGAAAAACAATAACAAAAACTCTTTAAATTCACCCTTCATTGTCTCTTACAAGCATACTTTTCAAGACATCAACAAATTGTACTTACAATATACCCAGCATATTCTTCAATTTCTTCAAATCTGTCATGAAGCCACACAAACTCTTCATGCTGACGAACTACAAGGAACTCTGATTTTTGAAATTCTGGTAGAGTGGTCTGAAAGAGAGATAGGTTTCTAACTTGCATCACAGAAAATACTAAAATATTGTTATCTACTATGTTTAATCTTGAAATTAAACACGAGCTTAAACAGCATGTACGGGACAGATTTTTTTAAATGACAGGAAACAAACAGGGGATTTTAGGCAGAGAAATCTATTACTCTCGACTTCACGAACCAAAATTTCCCTCACGAGAGGACTAACGTATAAAACAATCATCTCACCTTAGTATGTACCGTGAACTTCACTTTGTCCTTCTCACTAAGTGCATCTGATATGTCAACCAGCAATGAATTATCAGTCAAATCTACAGTTTCTGACCTTCCAGGCTAAAATTAAATAAATGAGAATTAGAATGACACTAAAATATAAAATGGTTCCACATACAAATAACAACTCTGTAATTCAAATGGCTGTGAACAGTTTCCCAAACTTTTCTGAAGTTGGAGTCTTTCTGACAATGGAAAATAGCCCCAAAGTAGGGCAGAGGCACCCACCTTCAATAACACTAACTTGGTGGCTATGCAAACTTGTGAGGTGGGAGGGCATCAGCATCATTAACAGCATACTAGTTCATGACTACATGAATCTGCATAGGTAAACTCTAAACAAACCTTTTTTTTAAGGACGTAAAATAACAACATGGTAGCTGCATGAAATGTGTATTTAGGTTTTGACTCGACACAAATAACTAAAGAAATGTTGTAACATTACAAATGAGCTTACAAACTCTGTATAAGACATTCTTTGTATGATAACAGTTATAAACATGCCAATAGTTTGAAGATCTCTTCTTATTATCAGAAAAATTGGTACTTGTGGGTTGGGTTGGGTTAGGTTAGGTTAGGTTAATTTAGGTTAGGTTAGTTGTCATTTATTGAAATAAAATATAATAACTTTCAAGTATATGTCATTTATCCACACACATTAACCTAACCTAACCTATTTTTAAAGCGATGTGTCCCGATAACCCACAAGTACCGAAAAATTTAATGGCAGAATTAATAAAATTATACACAGAAATGGATCACTAAATTAAACAATTATTAACTAATAGTTCCTGCTAGCCTCACCATACAGAACGAAGCATTTGATGGTAGAAAAACTTATCCACTAAGAAAATATAAAGATGGCTGTATTCTGGGCTGTTGTGCAATGTAGTCTGGTAGAAGTTTACTGATGTCTCAGAGGGTGATGATGGAGGCAGCAAGGACTTTTCATATGAAGGATGTCACTTGTTAAACCATAAATAAAAACATCCCCTGTGCTAAGTTAAAGTCACCTTTAAGCCACGCACCACAAATCTACAAAAGATTCCGCACATTTATAAACTTAACACTAAGCTCAGATATATCCCAGTGATAGGCTCACTATAGCTACTGCACAGGAAACTGCGTAAGTACACCCAGAGGCAGTCTGGACATGGCAACAAAGCAAAAAATTCTGCTGCCGACAGCTTGTCATTTTATTTACTGAGCTGGCTCACATTAGTTACCACTCAGAATACAAATTAAGCAGTGATAATGAAGAATATAAATAGTATACACACACAAAGACAGTTCCTGCTGCATGATGACATGTCCTACATTTAAAAACCATCCCATTACATGCCAATGTTGGCACTTGGGGGAGAGGAGGTACAGTTCCTACTCATTCTCAATCTCAGCGTTAAAAGCCAAAAAGTAGACCAAACATGGAATTCAACATGAGATAAATTTTTAAAGTGTAGAATTACGACACTTCATTACTCTCGGTGAAAGTAGGATCATTCTTCCCATTAATTAGGTTACGTTTTGTATCCTGAGGTGATAACACACCACAAGCTGTGACTTATGAAATCAATTACAATAATAAATCATCAAGCACTACGTACAAGTCAAGAAAATTATGAACCAGCTTAAATATTAATAAAGTGAATACAATCTAAAGACCAACACACAGCTTCAACAGTACTCATCAGATCAGATACAATAAAGATCACGTGGATGATCATCCTTGTAACAAAGATTTCAAAAATGCATCTATTCAAATTGTGGTCTCCTGGTTGTGACACCGTGTAGTCTTGTAAGTGGATATTAAGTTTCAGAGCAAAATGCTGCCTCTATCTTCAGTACTAGCAGCATACCTACTAATCTGAAGAACAGCTATTATGATTTCTATGATAGCATTGGTTTTCGGTCATACTGTAGTTATTAGCGCATCTTAATAACATAACAGTGTTACATATTACATAATTTTGGTCATCTGATTACAATGTCTACATAAGTAACACTACTAATTTTAAGAAACTACACCAGAATTCTGGGGTACATTTGCTTAAAATACTGCTTACCTTCCTATTCTCATCACTGAGAATCACCGTGTTATCATCTAAGCCGTCCTGTGAAAAATTAAAATCAGGAACCATGAAAATAAGGAAATACCGTGTACACGAATATCATGATTCGCGGTAGGCAAATTACGTCCACCTACCATCATGGCTGCTGAATTCAATTACCACAACAAATATCACTAACAACTGGAATTTATTTAGAAGCATACACTAGAGATCATTTGTGGTCAACTTCCTTCCACCAAGTTGCTATCTAAACAGATATCTTTTCCGCTACGACAACAGTGTCACTATCATGACAGACCGCCCCTTGCTTACAATCTTCCACCTCAGACTTGAATAAATGAATGTCACAAAACGAAAACACAAATGCCAACACTAACAAAAGGAAACTATATGCAGCAATGAAGTGTATTTGAATAGTTACGTATTCAAAAGTAAATGTTCACTTGAAACTACTTTTTATAACTGCCCAAAACATTCAGAAAATACTTGTGCTTTTTACGGTTAAAATAGAACAGAATTTATTTGCACCTTCATAGGCCCTAGCCAAGGATGTAGATCATGTCATAGCACAAATACAATACTTATTTCTAATACCAATATAAAGTACATAGTTATGACAGTAATTCACAGTCAACTACAGCTAATAAATTCAATGGTATGTCTACTTTCCTTTTATGTAAATGAACTAAAATAGAACAGTTAATTCCGTAGTGTTTATAAAATAAGATGAATACTAGGAAACGTGTTTGTGAAGTTCAAGTGCCCTCCAAGAAGAATTTTGACATTCTAAATTCGTTTTAGGGACATTCATCTTTCTCAGATTGTTACTTCTCATACATTAAAACGCCCCTTTAACCCATGTATAACAACCTGTGCATTTAATCACGAAATACCAATACCCGGCATTTATAATTACTGATTACTCTTTACTACCAGAAATTTCATTATATAATCTTTCCATGTGACACAACTTAGACTTGAGTTGTGACCCTATCAACTCCAGCCAACTTCGAAGTCGTAGTAATTCGATAACCAGTCATATGTTCATGTGACAACCAGGCTGTAACCTGAAACATAAATAGATTTTAATACATTCATTTACACCCTTTCAGCATAATGAAAATTGTTTGCCAGAGCCGTAGAAAATAAATGTGGTTGAATTTGTAGTGGAAACATTTATTTAACATTGGATTATATTTACATGTAGCACAATCTTAACCTCAAAAGTTAGACAAGACATCGACAGACCAACTGCTGCATTACATAGTGCACCAGAAAGATGCAATCCCCTCATCGTTCTCAGAAGAGTGCATATTATGCAGGGATCAAAATTTTCAACAGTCTACCATCAAGTCTCTCAAGTCTTGTACATAAAATGGCACAATTTAATGTAGCATTAAAAAGATACTTAATTACACACTCGTTTTACTGTCGATGTATTTCTATTGTTTACAAATAAATGATAATTTATCTTCTGTATATAATGGGTAATTTATTTGTAACTTATTACTTTAGGTGAACCCTTTGTTTGTATTATGTGAAATTTGTATAACAGTATGAATTGTACTTTATAATATGTATTGTATTATTATGACTTTTCCCACATCCTATTGTCATCTATCTTATGGATCCATGGAATGTAATAAAGATGTATGTATATAAGAGTTAAAGTATACAAGCTTGCAGAAAAATTAAAACTGTATCTACTAACAGAAGACAATTTCTATTAGCACCAAAAGGATTCAATTTCTTCCACACCTAGCTCCTGTGCAGACAAATAGAATACATAACAGCCTGCATCAGACTACCTGTCTCAGTAGCTACGTAGACATTTTGCCGCACACTGTACGTTGCACAATTTTTAGAACTGTGTTCAATCACCTTGATAATTTTCAGCAAGGAATGTCAACATAATCCCAATAAACACCAACATCAATGTTTTCATGTTTATTAATTATTAATTATACATATCATATTTTGTGTCTCTTTGGTTCCCCTAACCCCTTTTTACCCATAAGGTTGTAACTTTGCACACTGCAGTTTTAATATTTGCTGGGATTTTCATATAATATTAATATTTATCAAACACGTGTCATGGCTTACATACAGTCCAGGTGGCCACGTGTGATACCAATGTATCACTTAAACTATTAACCCCTGAACTGAACTCCAGCCAGCAGCCTAATAGTATGGGAGTTTAAATCTTGCATTCCTGTATGATTAATACAGCGCATTACATTTTTAACCTAAAAGATCACAACTTTCTTGGCTAAAAGTATGTCACCTTAGTTAATGTGGCTGAAAATAACATCCAACAACAGCCAGTTCTCGGGTTACAAGTTATACACAGGAATGACGAGGGCTGCAAAAATTACTCGTATACGCTGCTGTGGAAAATGGCTTCTTTTCACAATGCAGATATAACAATACAACACAGAGTAGTATTTGACACTGCAACTACGCTGATATGTCTTCAACTTCAAGTAGAAAGAAAGCAGGCATTTCTAACTTGGGCAGCAGCAGTGTGACAGACAATCTATATCATTGTCAGAGTGAGTCACTCTTCTATTGTTTACCTAAACACGTCCTGATAATAAAGTCAAATTATGTCCCTTTTTTTTAAATTGTGAAAATAATAGCATAGTACGAACTTTCATTATCATTACTAATAAATATATCATGTATGAAAAATGGTGTCTATAATTTGCAAGGGTTTTACATATATATAAAAAAAAATAATTAAAAGACAGAAGCTAGGGTAGTTCAGTCAGTATCAGTAATGTCTGACTATAGACTGGACAACTGGGGTTCAACCCCCAGCAGGAGCAGCAAACGATTTTTCTTCCAACCTGTGCCCAGACCAGCCATGAGGAAACACAGACTCCTACTCAATGGGTACTGCGGGTCCTTCCCCTACGGGAAAGCATGCCTGGGCGATGATGCAGACCACTTACATCCATCTAGTGCCAAGGTCAAGTATATGCAGGACAAGCTTGATATTACTTGTAACACAATTGCAACATGTTCTAAAACTACAGACGTACATATCACAGTATAAATGGTCACTTCATACTGAAGTTGTTCTGAATTTAGTAAGAACATTATTGCCAACTCATACTCCTGTGCTTTTTATAATCGCATACCGCATCATTCTAGACGCAGAAAGAAAAGCATCATTACCTCTTTTTTGTTATAATTTTAACTTTATATGCCACTGATAATACTCAGTTGAACATTTAAAGCCATTATCTGAATAGTATTAAAAATATATTAAAATTGGCCGTCAATCACAATATAAGATAATTAAAAGATTAAAATATCATTTTACGTTCCTTATCGAGTACTCGATTTACATGTGGAACATTTACGACATGTTTCGGCTATATATAGCCGTCAAAATCATTAAAAAATCAGTAATTCAGTTAAAAAGTTTATAACATAACACCTGATGACGGCTATATATAACCGAAACATGTCGTAAATATTCCACATGTAAATCGAGTACTCGATAAGGAACGTAAAATGATATTTTAATCTTTTAATTATCTTATATTGTGATTGATGACCAATTTTAATATATTTTTAATACTATTTAAATAAATCACAATATGACGCATCTACAATATCTTATACATTATCTGAAGTCAAAATTTCATAAATTAAATTTTACTCTTAACATGTTCATCCTGCAGCAACACATCACAGTGGGACACTGAATTGTATGTAAGGCAGAGGAAGTTACTCAACCTTTAGGGCCGGGTAAACGATCAGTCGATCTGCTTAATAACATCTGACAAAAAAAGCTGCCTTTCACCCTTCTTGCCCCCCTCGACAAGTCAAAGCTATTTCTAATTAGTCTGAGGCAATATTTAACATATGCCATTCGAATTGTTACGACGGGTGGGCCAACCGACGAGTGGTAACATCAGATGAACGGAAGTGTAACAAACTGCAACACCAGCATTGACATACACGTGAAATGTGGCCGACATGAATGCGGCGAACAAAACGTTCTGAATGCAAGAATATGAAATTACACTATAATTCTATAAAGCAAGGAATCTGTTTGCAACTTCGTAAATTATACTGTACAGCAGTAGCAGAGATATCGAATAAAATACTTCGGTCGTTTTACAACCTGAATGTTAAAATGAAATGAGCGACTACATTTTCATGACATGAAGGAGTTCAATAGGATCAAAATACTTCCATAAATACAACAATTTGAAATTACAAGACTACAAAAGATCAATATTTCTTAAAAGGAATTTTGACAACAGCGCACTGTTACATCAATACCACTATTTTGTACATTCTAACACAAAATTATGTCCATATTTTGTAACACCAATAACTGAAACTGTGATACACACCTGAACTGTAACTACATATGTTATAAAAAAACTGCACGTACCATTCTTATAAACTGTAAAACATTGCCATATTATAAACAGGGTGAACAAATTATCGTATTCCAAACAACCTGATAAAATACACGGTTAATTATTTTTACCTGCAATTCCTCTTACCAAAGTAAAAATATTAGCCATGAGCTTAAATCAATGCCTTTTCAGAGGCCACAATGGATCGAGCTGGCTCAATGGATCATCGGGGTTCTCCCGCGTCAGTTTCAGACTTGTTCCTTTTGTTTTGGAAGTAAAACTCTCTTTAGTAAACCTCTTGGATGGCCTAAATGTCATTACTTCCGTACTGAGACTGAACTGCGTTGGGTCTACCATCAGACCAGATGGACAGGAACTTGGGGAAGAACTACGTGACCCAACTATACTGCTGGAAGTGCTTCTGCCGCTACTGCTGCTGCTGCTACTCTGCCTATTTCCAGTGGCCTCATATTGCACTGCTCCTCCATGCTTCAAATCACTGCTGTTGCTGTTGCTGTTTGCTGCAACTGTGGATATCAAATAAAAAAAAAAAGGAATTAAATAGATTGTGTGAAAGGCATAAATGACAATGAAATCCCTATTAACAAATTCTCACTTTACAGGATTCCGTTCCTATTCCGATTTTATAGAATCTGGTTACTTGTTCCTTTAATTTTCTTTCATCTATTCGTTTATTTACGATGTTAAATGCGCACAAAGTACAATGTAATTCAGAATGAAATCACAGTCTGGAGGTTCCCAATGCGCAACATGCCAATGTGTTTCATGTGCATATTTAGGCTGTATTTAAGAATAACTTGAAAGTAGCAACTTACTAATTAGATGTCTGGAGATTGTCTGTAATTAATTCTATATATTTCATTTATAAAATAATTTTATGCCCAATAAATAAAGGTGTCCGGCATATCAGCGAAGAGATTATTAACAGCCTAGATGCACAAGCTAAAACTCACCTAAGTACACATACTTTTACTCTTAGTGCTACGGTCCTGTTTCTTTAGTGCACAATTTTCAAACAGTTAAAACTGTACAGCTGTGAAAAGCGTTAACTACAGCAACATCTGAGCATGGCAACAAATAGCAGAAAACAGGAACTGCTACAGCAGGAGAGAGATTAAAGCACATTTCAAAAGTGTCTTAATTCTACTGACTTTATATAATGAACATAAATACTGGTAACTAAATTTGTTTGATGGTTGCATAAGCACAGAATATATTAAAAAAATTGAAAAAAATGTAAAATTAATTAAGCTATATCAAATTTTTATAAGGAGAACTTTATATTTATATATATATATATATAAAAGAAACAAATCACATATCTATATATAGATAACTGAAAGCTTCTTGTATGAGACATACTGAAGTTCATATCTGCCAGAAAATTATAAAACTTTGTTTTAAAATGGTACAAAGTACCAATTCAGACAGCACAATTCCAAGGCACAGATTCACACTACATCAATTGGCAACCTTCTCACAACTTAACAACAAACAAATACAGAAGTTATTTTTCGCTGAATGCACCCTAAAATAAATAATTACTCTGGTACATTCAAAGTTCAAATATATTAAAATAATTAAGTTAGTTTATTATTTAATATCACAAGTTTGAGTACAAAAATTAAAATGAAGAGAGCCTTCTGCTGAATAATGATTTACTGAATAAATATGACAAGATTTTAATTAGTGCCAAAAAAAATTTTTTAAAAAAAACTACATACACTTTCATTGCAAGGATAGCATAAAGCATCTACGGCTTTGGCATGGCCAGTACTCAGTTTCCTTCTAACATGCAACATTTAGTTGTTAAATTTGTAGCAAGAGAATACAATATTTCCCAGCTCACAGACTGAATGCTTAACAATTTGCTCCACACATTTTTCTGAACCATAACCTAACTTAAAAGAAGCTACCGACAGCAGATATTTTGAACTGCACATGACTATCACCAAGTGAATATTTTGCTGCGCTATGTAGCTTAGGGGAATTAATAATGTTACATACTGGTATGTTAAGAAAGGATATTACTTAAAAGTTCTATTACAGAAATTTCACAAGCCACCAATATGCTACAAAATGCAGAACCTAACTGCTGAATCAAACTTCACAAACATGAATTATTTTGTTTACGATATCTAATTGTCAAACGTAACACAAAAGAAGTTACATATTTCAAAGAATAATTTTGTGATCAATCATATGTAAGATGCACTGTCCACTTCATTGGCCTAGCCCTTCATAAATCTTCATTTGTCTATGTACAATTTTACAAAATAATAGTAAATACAACCAATAAACCAGACACATTTGGTGCATCTTACAAATGAATATGAATGCAATCATGCAACAAGACTTACTGACTGGGAAATAATGTACATTATTGATGCAATAGTGCGAAAGCTACCTAACCCCATTTTCTCGATTCCTGACTGAAGGTGACTAAGATCGGTAGGTGGACCCAGCAGGAAATCTTCTGAAGGGTGTCGTGTATGAGACTTCCCCCCTCGGCTCCGTTTGTCATCAAACGTGGAACGGCTTGTCAGGATACCCCCTGGGAGGGACAGTATCATGTTAAGCACGTCAGACATTCATACCATCAGCAAAAGCAAAGTCTGAGTACAGTTAACATCACTTGGTAAAAATTTGGACCACACATACTTACATTTCTGCTCCTGTAAGAACTTATGAATATTAACTACCTTCCACTTCCTAGCAAAATTCTGCTTAATACTTAACCTGCCAGTAAACAAAATAATTCCTGCGAGAGTTTCCTTTGTAAAATCTTATAAAATACCCAGAAACACACATAAGTATCAGAAAATGGGCTGATTCATAAGAGAACAGATCAACAAAAACATGGAAATATTTCTTATGTAAGATTTGAGGTTTTCACAGCGGTGAGTATGAAGATTTTTGTCTTCTGGGTTGTTGCGCTGTGTAGTCTGGTCGATGTTAACCAAGGTTTCAGGGGTCATACTGCCTCCGTCATCAGGGTGATGAATATGCTAATAGGGTGTGTGGGGCTAGGTTTATTGGCATATTCATCGCCCTGATGACGTAGGCAGTATGACCTCTGAAACGTTGGTTAACATCGACCGGACTACACAGCGCAACAACCCAGAAGACAGAAATCTTCGAAATCTTTCTTGATATCACATATCATTCTGCAAGACATGCAACATGTCATCACAGCTCTACGTCTCAAGATATAATGCATGAAGTAAGAATTATAGCCAACATGGTACAGCTGAACTACCCTTCTAGGAAATAAACTTGTCTGTTACCACCTAAAAGGGCAACTGAATGAAAGTACAGTGAATCAGAAGGGCAAACTTACGGAATGTAGGAAGCAACATTGATCAGCGGAGCGGTGAACAGTCATAGCAGGAGGCAGAAAAACTTCAGGCTTAGGAAAGTGATAACCAAATTGACACTTCTGTGTCCCTTTCATATATGTCCTGCGACACAGCCATTCCCCAAGATAAGATTTTATGACACTGATTTTAGATAATTTAATGACGCTCTTTCAATTTAATATGTTGTGTATCTTTGAATAAGATGGGAAGATAGTGACCTGGCATATTGAGACCTCAGCATTCCAAGTTCATTCACCATTACTTAGGTCATTCCAAATAATCTGCCAGAGTCCAAAGGCCTGTGTAACATTTCATAACATGCTAAGTTTCCATGGTGATAACATGTTATCCTCCCACCTAACCACTTATCAGGTGTTTGGAATTGATTTTTCAACAAATTCTCAGCAACACTCAATATCTGGAAGCTGTCTCCTGCAACCTGAATAAAAATGAACTGTATACATCAGCTTCTCTTCTACGCACATGGTGATTTTTTTTAGGGGTAAAAAAGCATAAAAAATAGAAAGAAAAATACTGAGGCTCTATTAGATATTAGTATGGAGATCTATCTATAAGTAAATGCACAGAAAACTAAATTCAAGTTCATGTCTCATCATCAGCGTGCAGGAAAAAAAGCTAATAAATCCTCTAAAAGTGTTGAAAAGTTTAAATACCTGGAAATGACTAACAAATCAAAATAACATTCACAAGGAAATTAAAAGCAGGTTAAATTCAGGGAAAGCTTACTACCATTTAATTCAGGATCATTTGCAGAAATGTTGCAAAACTAATGCGTATGGTATGAAGGCACTGGGCTAATGTTACCAAGACAAAATATACTCAAATTTGCAAGCTGTTTCATAAATGTAAGGACACTAGGGACTTGGTACCATACCTACACTGAACCGTATCTGTTCTATCATCATATTCAATCCTATCTCACTTTCCATGACGACAAAATTCTGATAACTTCCCACTCACGTTTCATAAGCAAATCCTGGGCATAATACAGTACGGCCTGATACGCAAATTTAAGGTGTTCTCTGTCCCTCAGAGAGCCCTTTCTATGAGTGCTCATGCAAGCGGTAGTCATCACCAAGTCCAACAGGCCACGTCCCGCTTGAATATCACAAACAGCAGCTGTCACAAGGCAAAACAGGCCAGTACGTCCCACTCCTGACAAGCAGTGAACAACCACGGGATGGCAAGCATTTCGCTGCTGGGAGTAAAAGTTTAATGTCTCTGACACAAAACTCAGGAATGGTCCTGGAGATGCTGGGAATGAACTGAAACAAAAACAATCAACTGACAAAATTTATACAGCTACCGGACTACTCGGTGGCCAGATTACATTCCAGGCATTTAAATAAAACAGATGTGTCTTTATGTAAAATAACGCACATATTTTTACTCGCTCGACTCAAAAATTATGAAACAAGAAATTTACTCGTGCAGACATAACACAGATTAGCCCAGAAAAATATGTTTCATATATAAAGTTGTGAATCCATTCAAAAACGTGTTTCTCCCCTAAAATTAAAATACATAATACTTTATCGCTTTATGCCAGTGTCCGTTACGGTCAAACTGTACCTGTGCTAATTTCGTAGCCCTCTCATGGCAGGCCGACTGAACTGTTCCCTTCCACCTTCTTAAAGGTTTTTAACGAGACGAAGCCTAAAATGCCCACATTTTTCTTCGACTGCATAGAACAGTGAGTTTCATAAATACTGCGACATGTTTCTTTTACTATGAATCTGAAGTATAAATTGGAAAAGCAGAAAGACTTTCAGAAATGGAGACAGCAGCTTACACTGACTCAGCAAAGTGTAAGATAATGAAGCAAAAGTAGAACCGCAGAAAAATCAAAAACAGGCCAATTTTGCTGAGATGTGAAACTTCAACAGTGTGCAGAGAACAATAAGGTCACGTCTGGTAGTCCGAGAAGAACTCAGTATAATAACGATATCAACAAACTTACTGGACGTGAGAGAGTACTGAGCAAAGAGAGGCTGTGAGCATTAACAAAGAATCAAGTCCACTGAGTGTTTTTATACCCTACTTCACAACGGTTATCCCACCGTAAAGTAAAAGGCCAGTGTTGGTGAGAAATAGAACTGGGGACTTCTGCAAGATGCCAGATGCAGGAGAAAATACTGTAAAGAGCTCACAATAGACACAATAATAACAAGACCTGTGAGGCAACAAACAAGTGTCTCACGTTTGTGAACTTACGAGGGTGAGTCAAATGAAAACCGTAAAACTGAGATAAAAATTCAAAATATCGTGCCATTGTCCTATAAGTTGGCAGACATGTTACCAATGCTATAAAGAGTATCCTATAGGTGGTAGTATAATGCAGACAAACATATCGCCATCACAGTGCCAATTTGAAAATGGCTGCTCCACTAGTTACGTGCACGAAAGAAGAACAACGTTCTGTAATTCGTTTTTTGATCAGTGAAGAATCTTGAAGAATCATCTTCGACCTGCAGTCAGATCAAAGCAACGTGGACTTGACATGACAATGCTCGGCCCCAC